AGGGAGCCCGATGTGGGACTCGATCCCAGGACCCTGGGATCATGACCTGAGCCGAAGGCAGACGCTTAACGACTGAGCCACCCAGGCGCCCCTCTCAGATTCTTCTTATACTACCTAGAGTTTCTACCCAGAGCTGAGGCCAGGCGGAGGGCATCAGCCCTCTCTCGGGGAGGGAGGCTGAATTGAAATCCTCGTTATACCCTCTCTTATCTTCTGGCTGGTCAGATGCTTAATTCCTTGGTGGATGGAGGTGATGAGGTCAAAGTACAATTTTCAAACTGCTAAAATCATGATTCTCTAGCAAAACTGTAGTGAGCCACACATCAAAGATTTATTTAACTTATTAATGAGGGAATGAGTAGAATGGTAAAACTGGTTCAAAAGAGAATGTGAGAAACTGATCCACCTACCTACCTACCTACCTACCTACCTACCTACTGTCTATCATCTTACACTGCACTACTACTCACATTGCCCCGACCCTTGGTCTGGAACAGGCCTTCCGGCTGCCCTTGCCCCTGCTGGCTGTCCATGTGTCCCCAAGTTTCTGGCAGTTGCCTTGTAATTACCTTTATTTGGTTCAGTACACCTTTGGGTCCCTGCCCTCCAGGAGCGTGGTATCTAATGGGGCGAGGATGACAACTCAAATCCTTTTTTACAGGCTTCGTGAGCATTTCCCCCATGCCAGGCCCCGTGCCTGCTCTGGGGACACAAGATGACCATGGCCTCACCCCTGCCCTCAGAGGAGCTCTGAGCCCATGAGAGAGACAGACAAATAAACAGAATCTCGTAACACCAAGGGCCAGCGCTAGAATAGAGGTCCCAGAGGCAGCGGAGAGGGGGAATTATTCTGCCCTGGGGATGGGGACAGGCACCAGGGGCCACCATCCAAAGCAAAGGACGGGCCCTGCCTCTAAGGGGAAGGAAAAGTTGCTCCTGCCTTGGTGGGGGGGCAGGCAGCCGACTCAGGCATGGGACATAGGTAGGAATCTGGCAGGTGGAGAGGAGGAAAGGGCACTCGGGGCAAAGGGAACAGTGTGAGCAAAGGCCAGGCGAGGAGAACACACCGGGCATATGCATGTACTTTCTCCCAATGACCAGAGGTAACGGGGTCACCCCAAGATGTTTCGGATTATCAACAGAGACCAGCACATACCTCTCTACTTAATTAGCCTCAAAAAGAAAAAAAAAAAAGTAATTCTTAAAATGGCAAAAGCGAAGCATCAGCTTGGAGCAAGATTTAAAGACGACAAACAACCCGAAATAGCCAGACAGCTTTCCCCTGTCTCTTCCGTTTGCAGGAGTCACAGTTCTCCCCCTGGGGAAATCACTCCCCACTGGAGTCAGAATGGCCGGAGGTCACGAGGAAGGTGGGGGAGGCAGCAGCATCTGGGCAAAGGCTGTTCACCTCCATTCCCTCATTGGTCCTTAGGGCACGGGGAGAAGGAGGTGGGATTAAGGATTATTGTAGGGTTCATTTGCCAGAACCGAGTGGCTAAGCAACTGGCCCAGAGTCGCACAGCTGATGGGAGGTGGCGCTGGGAACAGAGGGCAAGGTGTAGGAGCTCCCTGCACACCGGGCTGCCCACGCCCCCATTCTGGGCCTCGTTCCCACACCCCCACGCCTTCACGGGCTACGGGGAGGTTTCAAGGAGATACTTTCGCTCCAGGGGAGAAATTGCTCGCTGCTGGTTCCCAGAGCGGGACTCACTAGATCAAACACACAGTAGGTGCCCGACAAGGATGTTGGATGAGTGAGTGCGTGCAGGAGTGGTGTAGGTGGTGGGGCTCGAGTTCTGGCACCGGGCCACAAGTGCATGGATTCGACCCTAAGACGGGAGACACTGCGGTGGGGGAGGGGGGTGCTGCTGGAGATGGAGGTGAGAAGTGAGGGCGGCCAATGAGACTGGCTCTGTCTGCGCCTCCGGCAGGGCAGCCAAAGGGTGACAGGTCTCAGGACTTGCTCCCCAGCCCCGCCTTCCGCCTCTCCCCACACCAACCCATAGAACAGTCCCTAGGCGCACTGAGCACCTCCTTAGTGTGAGGTCCGGGTGCTATGCTGGGCATGCAAGCATGCATCATCCCCGAGCATGTGACGACCCCGCAAGGCTGCTGTCACGGCCCCCATCCTCCAGGGCAGCCAACCAAGGCCCAGGGAAGGTTAGGTGAGCCCAGGTCTGTCTGGCCCAGGTCTGTAAACGGGAACAATGTTGGCAACTAGTTCATGGAGCCCTCCCGGGAGGCGTGCATCAGATGCTTAATGAGCGCAACCTGTTTCATTCTCCGCGTTTCCTCGTCCTTAGCTTGAGCTCACTTCCTCTACCCAGGGCTGCCTCTCTGCCCCTCTCTGCGCTCCCTTCTCTCTACCTGAAATGAAACGCTCACCCTTCTCCCCTTAATGCACAGCCACCTTGCTGGTCTCCCAGCCTCCTCAGAGTTGCTCCCAGCAGCCAGAGGAGTCTGTGATCTAAGCCCGGCCACGTCCCAGCCCTACCTAACCCTCCATGGCTCCCCGTGGCCGAGGGAGAAAGCACCTCCTCTCCTGGGCGTGATCTGGGCCCTGCCTCCCTTCTCCAGCTTGCTCTCTGGCCTCAAACCCCGCCCTGGCCCCTGGCCCTTTGCTCACACTGTGACCCTGCCCCCCACCCCCCAGGTCTTCCCTGCCCTACAGCCAGGCTCAGAGTCCTCACTTCCTGAGCTATTGCCGCTGGGCTCTGTATCTGCCCTCGCAGTCCTTGGTGCTCCCAGGCAGTGACTGGACCTTTCTCTGGCACTCGCCTGGCGTGGAGAACTCAGCGAGTGCTAAGTGAATGAATGAATGGACCATTGAGTGAATGTGTGGATGAGGAGACCGGAGATGGAAACCAGCAGGGAAACAGAGGGATGGGACACAGCCCATCTGGGCCGATCCCCCACCACCGGCTCTCCCTGCACCACCCCTGCCCAGGTGAGGACCAGCTGGCTCCCCGGTCTCTCCTCCTGGCTAACAGGGGTCAGGGGGCCTATCCCTCTCCCTCCTCCAGGCTGCTACCGCTACAGCTACGTGGGCCAGGGCCAGGTCCTCCGGCTGAAGGGGCCCGACCACCTGGCCTCCAGCTGCCTGTGGCACCTGCAGGGCCCCAAGGATCTCATGCTCAAACTCCGGCTCGAGTGGACACTGGCCGAGTGCCGGGACCGGCTGGCAATGTACGACGTGGCCGGGCCCCTGGAGAGGAGGCTCATCACCTCGTGAGTCCTGGGAAGGTGGGTGGGAAGGGGATGGCGATGCAGAGTCAAAAATCACGCCTCGCATTCGGAACTGAGAGGCCGTGTGGCCCTGGTCCTCGGTATCTGCTATCTGAGAGACAGTGAGGCTAGCCCACAGAGCAGGAGGAATGGAGGCTGGAAACGGCCGTGTACTGTGGCCAGTCCCTCTTCCCTCCCCGAGCCTCAGTTTCCCCATCTGTAACAAAGCAGATGTACTAGACGACCCCTCGGGTCAGCTCTGGGAGGCCATGTGGCTTGTCAGGATGCTTCAGAGTCTGGCAGCCCCCTGCTCTGTTGCTTCATGGCTGTGTGTCCTAAGGCAAGTGGCTTTGCCTCTCTGAGCCTCGGTTTCCTCACTCGTGAAATGGGTGCACAATCACACCCACCTTGCAGGGTTCTTGTGAGGATTTAAATCAAACCATCCGTGGGGCACCTGGATGGCTCAGTCAGGTAAGCATCCGACGCTTGATCTCGGCTCAGATCTTGCTCTCAGGGTCGTGAGTTCAAGCCCCGCGTTGGGCTCCACACTGGGTGTGGAGCCTGCTTAAATAAATAATCAAACAGTCAATCAAACCATCTGTGCCAAGATTCTCACACATAGCAATGCCATCCATTATTACCACATGTTAAATGTATCCGTTAAATATCCAGTAACTGTTGCTGGTGGGGTGGGTTGGGGGGCACCAGGCTGCTGCCTTCTCTGTCTGGCTTGGGCTGGGCCAGCTTCCAGGCAGGAGCGGGGGTGGGACCTGTGTGTTCAGATCAAGGGCAGTCCGTGAGGGTGAGCGAGGCAGGTGTGGGGGGTGGGGACAAGGTTCTCCCCAACCCCCACCCCCCTGCAGGCCTCTCTGAATTCCCGGCTTTGAGGCTGCACGCTCACTTGCAACACCCCCAACACGATGACCTCAATCTGGGGTGTGCGTGGGCTGGGTTCCTGGAGAGCTCTGGGAAGTGCAGAGAAGCCAGACACCATCTGATTTCCAGGCCTGATGAGGGTGGGGACGCTTAAGGGCTTCCCCTGAGGCTTCTTCAAGTACCCTCCCCCAACCCCATCCTGTTGTTAGGGAGGGGACCCGGCTCAGCCTTGTCCCTACTCACGATGGCACCCAGGCAGCTCAGAGCCTTGGAGGTCTACAGTGATGGGTCAGACAAGATCAGGGGATCCCCATCCTTGTGTCCCAGAGCCACGAGAGGTCTTCAGGGGTGATAAGGAGATAGAGCAGAAGGGACCTCGACAAGTTTAACCCCGTGGCTTGTTTCCTGGGCTCCACGCCCTGGGAGACTGGGAGACATTTTAGTTACGAGACGAGCTCTGCTGCGAAGGAAAGAAAAGAAACCCCAACATTAAAGCCTGCAGTGCCCATTGCAGGTGACCTCAGGTGTCCCTCAACCCTGAAACCTCATCTCCCTGCAGGGTAGAGACTGGGCACTCTGGGGGCACAGGGATCCGGAGGGACGGGAGTCGGCTGGGATAGTCTGGGCAACCTCCTGGCCTCTCTCACCTGAGGAGCTCGCCTGACCCTCACAGGGCCTCCAGTCAATCTCCTGGGCCAGAGAGGGTCGGAAACCTGCGCGTGGACACACAGCAGTCCACCCGAGCCCCTTCCCAGGCCCCTCCCGCCCTGGCTACCTTCCTCTGTCCCTCCAGGGTCTACGGCTGCAGTCGCCAGGAGCCAGTGCTGGAGGTCCTGGCGTCCGGGGCCGTCATGGCGGTGGTCTGGAAGAAGGGCCTGCACAGCTACTACGACCCCTTCGTGCTCTCCGTGCAGCCCGTGGCCTTCCAGGGTGAGGGGTCAGGGGTCCCGAGGGATGCGAGGAGCGCTGTGGCAGAAACCCAGGGCCCAGTCTGGCATGCCCTTCACCTTCTTTGCTGTCGTTGGGGTGGGATGGGGGCAGAGGGAAGGTTCTGGAAGCTCCTCTGCTCTCCACCCTCCCATGCCCTTGGCCTCTCTCTCCTGTCCTCTGTTCTCACTCTCCTACCCTCCCTGTCCCTGTCCCTCCTCTCCCTCATTCTCTCTCCCGCCCTCTTTCTGTTTATTGGCTGTTCTGTCCCCATCCTGGACCTGTGTCTCCTCTCTCGGCTCCTCCCCCGGTCCTCTTCCCTCCGCACCCGCTTGAGGCTGGAGTGTGGGTCTGTGGTCAGGAGGCCCGAGAACCTCAGATTCACCCCCAGACCATCCTCTCATTCTGAAGGTGAGCCCCACAGACCTCCCTGGAGATGGCACTCAGCTCAGGGAGGGCCACTCAGCATTTCCGGGAAGGGCTCTCCAGGCTGCCCGCTGGCCTCCTGTTCCGGATCTCCCTCCCTCCTTCCCTGACCCCCTTTCTCGGGAAGAACCCCACCCTTCATGCCCTGGCAGTCCTTGGGCATGGATCAGCCAAGCAAACCTTGCAGGTTCCAGAGCTGGCGGAAGAAAGGGTTGCAGACGGGAGACCACAAGCCACTGCCCCACCCCCGGCAATCTGCCTCTTCCCCTCCCTCTCCTGGTGTTGACCCCAGAGCTCTCCTGGCAGTGTCCAAGGTCCCCAGCTGCCCGTGCGGGGTTCTGGCAGCCCTCTGGGGGTGCCTGCTGCTGAGGAGGTGCCGGAGCTGGCTCTGGCTGACTCCACGGGAGTCACTGACACAGCTCGGGGGACAGGGGAACAAGGACCCTGACTCCAGGGAGAGGTAGCAGGGCAGCTGGGAACCCTCCTGATTCCTCACCCTCTCCCTGTGTGACCTCAGCCAGGTCCCCCCTCTTCTCTGAGCCTCATCTTGGAAAAGGGGCATGCCTCTCCCTCCCCCCAGCCCCATAACCTTGAGGCTCGCACAGTTGTGAACACATGAAGTAAAACGGTCAAGTGCAGTGCAATCCGCGTCAATAGCTACCATTTATTGAGCACTCACTACATGTCAGGCTGTTCGAACATTTTATGTCTATTTAATCTGCCTAACTGCCCTGTGAGGTATGTGCTCTTATTGTCCCCATGTTACAGACAGATGGGGAAACTGAGGCCCAAGGTCACACCGCACCACTAACCTCTACTGTTTAATGGCAGGAGGGTGGTGGGGTTACAGCTGTCCCTCACCCGCTGGGAGGTGCAGTGAGCTGGGGCCGGGGGACCCTGTGTAACCGTTGTTCTCGGGGCCCAGCTTGCGAGGTGAACCTGACCCTGGAGGGCCACCTGGAGCCGCAGGGCGTCCTCAGCACACCTTACTTCCCCAGCTACTACTCGCCCAGCACCCACTGCTCCTGGCACCTCACGGTGAGACTCGTACCCTGCCGCCCATCCGCCCTCTGCCCAGAGCACCCTGTGGACCTCGGGAAGCCCCGGCTGGGAGGGGACCAGTGTCCTGCCTCTGCTGATGCATCATCCGCAGGCTGAGCCCTGGATGCAAATCCCTCCGGGTTGGGGGGGTGACAGGTGTGGCCAAGGTCTGCCCCTGTGGGCCACAGTAATGCCTATTTGTTGAGTGACTGACCAACTTCAGCCCCCACTGGGGCTCTGTGTCGGCGGGCCTCCTCCCTTTGTTGTCCTGGGAAGTGGGGCCACCAGCCCAGTGACAGCCCACAGGCCACTTGGTGACTGGCTCCTCTGTCCCAGGTGCCCTCTCTGGACTACGGCCTGGCCCTCTGGTTTGACGCCTATGCTTTGCGGACGCAGAAGTATGACCTGCCATGCACCCAGGGACAGTGGACGATCCAGAACCGGAGGTACCCTCCCGGGACCCCCTTCCTCTCCCCAAAGTTACCCACCTTGGGAGCCCTTGTCCCAGACCTCAGAGGGGCAGCCCTGGAAGAGAGCACAGGCCACGGCCCCACCCCTTGACCCATTCCTGTCCTGGTCCCCGCCCCAGCCTCCCCTCCTGCCACCCACAGGTCTCCGCCACCTTGGATGGTGATTCTAGTTAGAGTGAAAGGTTGCACTTGGGCACTGTCACCCCACGGTCTGGTCCCCCGAATCCTTCAATGAGATGGTGCAGGAACCCCAGGACTCAGCAGGGCTACAGCACGTGCCCCTAAGCCCATCCCTGCGCCATCGGAGGCCCCTCTTCCCTTCTCTCACTCCCTGCTGATGGCCAAAGTCAAGTGGCTTCCTGGCTAGGAAGCTGCGCAGCAGAAGCAAGGCTGCTTTTGCTAATCCGGCCATTTCTACAAGGATGGTCTCTCCCTATCACCCACACCGCCCGTGGGATTCTTGCCCTGCTATCTGTGCTGCTTCTGGCCCCCTGGTGACAGAGTTGCTAAGAGAGTAGTGAGTCCCTCCGGGAGATGGGCCAGGACACAGGGGTGCCAGGCCACATGGGGGGCTGTCTGTGGGTCAGTCGTGACTGCGGTTTGATCGGTAGGAGGACGACTGGTAAATGCCCCCTGGGGCAGGCAACCAGGGGTCACTGGCGGCCCTGACAGCTGCGAGGAGTGAGGTGGGCGGGTGGTGGGGGACGGAGACGCTGCAGGCGTGCGCTCCCCTGTCTGGGAAGAGGAGGGTGACCTGGGACATTCAGGGGAGGGGATACTTATGATGGGAGGGGCTCCACGTCTAAAGCTGGGTGGGAGCCTCCCCTAGAGGGAAAGAGGAAGGGTCAGGCGCCCTTGGTGATGGGATGAGAGTTAGAGAGGGGAGGGCCAGTAGGAGGCATGGAGGGGGAGCCGAAGGAGGCCCTCCCATGGCCCCATTCTTGCGGGGCAGAGGTTTGGGGAGAGAAGAGGGATCTCGAAGTAGCCTTGCAAAGCCGGGGTGGGGTCCGGGGATGCTGAAGAGAAGCTTCTGCATCTAATAGCAGGTTGGACCTCTATCCTCCCTTCTAATCCCAGGATTTGGCATAGGGGGGGAGGCTCCAAGAGGCTGGGATTCTAGTATGCAAAGTTCTTGATTTTTTGGCTTCACAGACTTTGAGTCTCCAAGATTCCAATACACTAAAATTGGAAGGTTCCCGGACTCTTGTTGGTTGATCCTATTCAGACAAAAGGGGACAGGGATTGACAATGCTCATTGGCGAGCCAGCGTGCTTTCCAGGACTTTGGCAATTTATTAGGGACTGTGATTGAAAGGAAGAGGAAGAAATGCCTGAGGTGTGACTTCAGGCCCATGCTATTCGGGGGTGACGGGAGATGGTGTGACTTCAGGCCCGTGCTGTTTGGGAAACAAAAGGCATCCCACCACCCTAGTGTGTGGGTGACATTTCTGGGTACCACGACCTTTATCCTCATGGAGTGCCCTGGGGACCCCCTTGCTAGCCTCCTGGGGCCTGCCCAGACCGAGGCTGGCTGGGCTCATCCCTCAGCATCAGGAGCCCACAGAATGATGGTAGGAGTGGCCCATGTTTCACACTTGTTCAAATGATGATGCTATTTTTTCCTGTCACCCTCTTGACCCCTTCCTTGAGGAAGGAGCAGGAGGGCCCAGGGTCTGCCGCTCCTGCCCTTCCACCCACATGGCTATTGCATTTGCCAAGAGCCAGGCTCACCGGCCTGTGACGTCAACGGCATCATCATTCCGTTTCCCAGAAAGGGAGTCGAGGCTCAGCACGATTAGGTGGTGCCCATTCGGGCCTGCAGTCAGAGCCTCTCCCACACCCACCACCAGCTGGGAACATGGAGGATGGTCCCCACCATGCTCCCTATGGAGGGCCTTCCCTCTCTCTCCGTGATACAGCCAGGAGGGGTTGGGCAAAGGTATGGGCCCTGGTTCTAGGGACTTGCTGAGCTACCCTTGGGTTTTAAATGTGGGTCCCGGATGGAGAGAGTCCTAATTAAAAGGAATGAGGCTGTGATGGTGGGATTTCAGGCACTAGACAGGTTCTAGTGGGGTTGTAGGAGGCTCCCTCCCAGTGTCTCAAAGCACCACTGGGCTATAGAAAAAGTAGGGACTGGACGGGCCATCGAACCCAATCCTCACCCATTGTACCGGAGGGGAAACTGAGGCCTAAGATGCCTAAGCCTAAGGACTTGGCTTCTTTTGCTGGTCTTTTGCCTTTCAGTGGTGTTGGAGGGATTTCAGGGTGCAGCCAGGTGGTGGATGGGGGGGCGGTGGGGGAGGCCTGACGGGGCATGGCTCTCCCATCCCTCTTCTCTCTCGTCCCACGCCTCCCTGTGCTTCCTGGCGAGCTGGAGCTGTGTTCAGGGGAGTCTGTGTGGAACTCTGGGAGCACTACCTTCCCCATCTATACAAAGAAGGGTTAGACCAGCCCCAGGCCCCAACTTCTTATCATTTACACAGATGTCTGAAGAAAGACGTTGTGTGTATTAGTTCCTAGTGAAATGTCACTCCAGATGAGGCTGGTGAGGTGCAGAGAGCTGAAGCCAGACAGATCAGGGTTGGAATCCTCGCTCCTTCCCTTCCTGCGGGCGAGGGCTCACCTCTCCCAACCTCCGGCAGCTCATCTGAAAACTGGCCATGAAACGGACCCCCCCTGCCCCACCCCAGGCAAGACTAAATGAGATCTGGGATGGAGGACACCGGCTCCTGTAGGCCCAGACAGAGCACCGCTCTAGAAGGCACTGACCAGGAGTTAACGACTGGCTCTTGATGCCGGGCCAGGGGTTTGCGGTGCCATTCCCTTCATCCTCAACAACTTGGTGAGGAAACAGGCCCCAAACTGCCTTCACTGACCAGTGAGGAACTCAAGGCACAGAGAGGCGAAGTCATTTGCACCACCTCACCCAGATTGCAAGTGGGGGAAGCCAGAATTGAGCAAGGCAGTCAGATCCAGAGCGCGTGTGGTACGCACCCCCGTGCTTTGTGTGCACGAGTCTGTGCACATACCCATGCACACCTAAATGCTCCGCTTCGTGCAGAGTCTTCCTGCGGAGCTCTGAGCAGCCGTGCTGGCTGTTCACTCTCTTGGCCACGGCACTCCTGACCAATCCACTGGCATCCTGGTGGGAGGACCGACAGCTTCTGTGGCTCCCGCCAGTTCTGAGAACGGCCTGGGAAGTCCCATCTCTATCTTCTGAGACCTTCGTGAAGGATCCGGGGTCCCCAGGTGGAGACTAATGTCCCCAGGCCTGCCCCCAGGCTGTTGCCCATGTCTGAGCCCGGAAGGGAAGGCAGAGGTATACCTCCAAACCAGAAGCACCGGTCAAACCATTTCCTTTAGTTATGATCTTTTTTGATAATGATCATCCAATGTAGATGCTGGGAAATTCTTTGAATGAGCATTTGTTGGAAAATCTACTTGTGTGGGTGGCAAAGATATGAGAAGTCTGGGGAACGGTGTTGATTTGCAGGCACAGGGCGTGTAGGGAGGGGAGGCGCAGTCCTTGGGCCCAGAATGGCCATGGACAAGGAGCAACGGAGGGTGGGTTGGGGGAGAAGGTGACTTGCCCTGTAGGTGTCAGCGCAGTGATGAGGGAAGGCTGGTCCGAGTTCCCTCCGCTGGCTGGGCATTCTCAGGCTTGTGGCCTCGCTCCTCTGAGCCCTTTCTGTCTTTCCCAGCCTTGCTGCTTCCTACCAGCTCCTCCCAGTGCCCACGGCCAAGACCTCATGCCCTCTAAGTGGCCTGGAGGCGGGGGATGGACTTGGCCTGGTGAGACTGGCCCCCAGTTGCGTGGTTTTGCAGAATCCGCTTGAGCTGGGTGTCACCCCAGCACAGACTTCCCCCTTTCGGGGAATCTGCCTCTTGCCCAGCTTCCTCTCCTGTGATGTCACTTTTCTTGTCATCTGCCCAATCATTTCCCCTGCCGTCCCACTGATGGGACAGGCAGAACCACTGGCTCGTAGGCCTGCTGGAGCCCCCTCCGGCCTGGCCTACCTATGGGGTGGCTCTTTGGCTCCCCTGGGCCCCTGGGTGGCCAGCACTGCCTGCAGCCCCAGCGGCTCCTGGTCAGGTGGAGTGTCTGCTCCCGACGCTGGGTGCTGGCCGTGTGGTGGGCACAGCTCGTGCCGCTGCCCAAGATGAGCTCATAGGCTGACCGTGTCAGTGGCTTGCTTCCAGAGAAGTCATTTTCTCATCTCATTTCTCAGTTTCTCATTCCTTAAAACATCCTTCAAAGGAGATATTATCACCCCTGTTTTATAGACGTGAAAACTGAAGCTTGCTGACGCTGATGTGCCCAAGGGTCACACAGCTGATTCATGTGGCAAAGCTGGCCTCCAACTCAGCTCTGCAGCTCTGGGTCCAGCGCTCTGGTCACCATGTCAGATGCTGCCATTCTCCCTTCTTTAGTGCTTGCCTTCTCTGACCCTCCTTCCCACTTAATCTGTCCTTAGGGAAGGGAATGCCTGTGTGTGTGCATTCATCCATCTATCCACCCACCCAGCCTTGCTGCCTTCATCCATCCATCCATCCATCCACCCACCCAGCCTTCCTTCCTTCATCCACCCACCCATCCCTCCACCCACCCAGCCTTCCTTCCTTCATCCATCCATCCATCCACCCACCCAGCCTTCCTTCCTTCATCCATCCATCCATCAATCTACCCATCCACCCACCTTTCCATCCATCCATCCATCCATCCATCCATCCATCCATCCATCCATCCATCCACCTATCTTCCCTTCCTTCTATCCACCTACCCTTCCATCCACACACCCATCCCTCCATCCTTCCTTCATTCTTTCCATCCATCCATCCACCCACCCTTCCATCCATCCATCCATCCATCCATCCATCCATCCATCCATCCATTCATTCATCCATCCACCAATCCATCTACCCAACCACCCATCCACTCTTTCTTGAATTTCTCCCTGTGTAGAGTTGTTAATATGCAAGAAAGTTGACAGGGTCCCTTCTTATAGTTTGGGTGAGGCAAGAAGGAAAAATCCCCAATCCATGGAGGGGAGAAAGCAAGCCAGCCACTGTGCAAAGATGTGCCTCCAGACCCTGCACTTTGTAGCTGAGAGGTGGGTTCCACAGCCTTCAGACTCCTGGTGCCTCTTGGAGAGGGCTCGTGGGGGAGGAGGTGGCATTTGGTGGTTGGGGTGGAATTAGCCAGAGGATGCATACCCTCCCCCAGAAGTCTCTACAGCAGGATCCAGAAATGCAGATGCACACAGGGGCCCAGCTGGAGCACAGCTCTGGGAGGCAGGCTGTGTAGGGGAGAGCGGGAGAGGGAGGGACTAGTTAGCAGGGACTCACATGCTCTGCCTAATTCGGATGGCCTCTGATTACTTCCAGCCAGTGTTTCTGGGGCTCGTTTTTCAGAAGAAGCAAGAATCTAGTATATTATGTGAAATTAGCAGGCAACTGAACTTGAAAAAAAAATTTATTTTTAACACTGCACAGACCAAACAGACCATCCTTAAGTTGGGTGACTCAGCCTGAGTCACTAGATTGTAGCCTCTACCTTGAACTGTTGTGGAGAACCTTGCCCCAGGAATACCGCCACCAGCCCCTGCCCCAGGCCTCCAGGGTGAGAACCACATGCTGCCGGGATGGGGGGTGGGGGTCCTGGGGTACCAGGCTGGGCCACAGGCTGATTCTGGACTTCGTTCTCTCAGACGCCAGCAGAGAAAATGTCTTGTCAGCCCTCACTGGTACCTTAGAGCCCCTGGCCAAAGCTCAGGGTGACCACGCAGCCCTCAGATTGAAATGTTCCACTCCTCTCCGACCTGGCTCTGGTTCCTTCGCTGTCTCTCCACAACCCCTCCATGACCGTGTGGGGACAGCGTCCCATGTCCCTAAACCTTCTGCATGGTCAGCGGTATACTTGACGCATTTCCCCCTGCCCAGTATTTCCCGCCCCTAGCTCCCCTGTCCACTCCTCAGGGAAACGCTCAGGGGACAGTAATCCATTATAGCATTTGTTTGTCCACTTTTAAAACAGACAGACAGACAGCCAAAAGTCCATTTCCTTAGTTTTTTAACAGGCCAAGAAGGGCCAGGCCTGCTCGGGGGTGCCCCCTAGTGGCATCTTATCCCTGTCTTGTCCCCCACGGCTGGAGGAGTCCTGGTGGAGAGCCTGGCGTCTCAGTATTATCCACCTCGGGGCCTCTTTACACTCTTTAAAATTATTGAGCACTCAGAGGGCTTTTGTGCAGGTTACAGTATCTCTATGCACAGTATGAGACATTACAACTAAGAAAAGTTAGAAACATTTATCAATTCATTTAAAAGAAACCCATTACAATTTTAACATAAATAACATATTTTAGAAAAAACTAATTATATTTCCCAAAGCCAAAAGCATTTGGCAAGAAACATATCATCATTTGACCTTTTTGCGACTTTCTTTTAAACCGGATTAATAGACCAGAACTGGATATACACATCTGCGTCTGCATTCCATCGAGTTGCCGTCTCACACGTCACGTAGTCTCTGGAAAATTCCACAGGGAGTGAAAAAGGCAAATATTACCTGAGCATTATTATGAAAATAATTTTTCCTTTGGAGCCCCGGTGGTCCCCGGACTGCACTTTGAGGACTGTTGGTTGGTTTGGGGGCAAGAATATGATTCACTCTAGCCAGACAGTACGGGGAGGCCATACCTCAGGTCTGTGCAGGAACACAGGAAACGTGGGCACTCAGCCCCTGGAGCTCCCGTTGCAGTGAGAGCCAAGGTACCCATCTCCCCCCACCCCGCTCCCCCCGGAGCAGGCTGGCTGGGTCCTCCTAGGTCCCCAGGAGGCTGGATTCTGGCTGACCTCCGCCATTCCCTTCACGAGCCTCCTCTGGAACACAGGATGAGAACAATTCCTGTCTCACAAGATGGACCTGCTGCAAGAACCTCCGAATCTCTGTGCAATGAGGCCTTGCAGTGTTGCTGCCGATGAGGGAGGGGCCGGACAAGACAACCCCAAATCTTCCTCAGTTGTTTCTTGATCAGCTCGTCGACTAATTAACTGAACTATGAAGTGCTTGCCATATTCTAGAAGTTCCGACGGAGTACTGGCCCTCCCGGGAGTTAGATGACCTGCTCTGTGGGCTGTTGCATCTGCTGTGGGATGCTCCCATCATGCTTTGGGGCATTCCCACCTGCTCTCTTGACTTCCCCCTGCCTTCTCTGCTGGGGGCACTTTCACTTCTCGCTGCCTGTTTTCTGACCTGTGCTCTGGGTGTGCTTCCCTCTCTGCAAAGGCGTTCCTATGTGCTCTGTGAGGGTGCTCCCTTCCCCGTGGGGGGCATGCCTATGAGCTGAGGAGACTGACCCATCGGTTCTGTGAGGGTGTGCCACCTGCGGAGGGAGGGAACCCCAGGCTGCTGTCTGGGGAGCACCCATCCCTCTGGGGGAGTGGTTGCACCCACTTGGTGGGGAAAGCGAGCCCACTTGCTCTGGGAGGTGGGGTGTGCCCAGACGCCATGTGGGATAAACCCCCTGTGCCCTCCGTCCCTGGAGATGGGAAGATCCCTAGCTGCTCTCTGGGAAGACTTTCACCCCTCTGTGGGGGTTCTCCCGCCTGCTCTGTGGGAACAAGAGTATCACGTTGGGGTGGGGGAGTCCAGCCGGGGTGTGGGGCTCCGCCCCTGGTTGGGGAATGGTCCCACCTTAGTGCTGCCATGACGGAGGGGACGCCCCTCAGCCCTGTTCTACTGCATCAGTCCTGGGAGCAGAAGCGGTGCCTCCCTCAGGTCCAGGGAGTCACAGGGAGACCCCAGGGCTGTGGAGCCTTCTCAGTGGGAAGGACCGAGCCTGCACGGGGCACACTGCTGCCTCCTCCCCCACGCCGAGCACAAGGGGAGCGTCTTCTCCTATCTACACAGAGTAGACCTTCCAAGGACTCTTGCCTCTGCAGACACACTGAAGCTCTGTCAGATTTGGAGTCAACAGAGATGATAGTTCCCCTTCTCTTATCGGGGGCGGGGAGTGAGGCTCAGGGAAGGACCCTGACTTGCTAGGATCTCACAGCTCCCAGGTGACTGGGGCTAGAATCCAGACTTTGCATTTATCCTGCAGGGAATGGGGAACCATTGAAGGTTTTTGAGCAGGGGAATGACAGTCTGATTTCTAGAAGATGACTCTGGGGGTGAGCGGTCACCCAAGGGAGAAAACAAGACAGAGAGGGTGAAGGTGGGGGTGCAGCTCCCCCTTCCCCTGCGGCTGCTCTGCCCTTGCCCTGTCTGTGCACGGAAGCCGTCCCTTCCCTGGGGCTGGCCCGTGCGGCCCTGAGTCTGTCTCTGTCACCCCCAGGCTGTGTGGCCTGCGCACCCTGCAGCCCTATGCCGAGAGGATCCCCGTGGTGGCCACTGCCGGCATCACGGTCAACTTCACGTCCCAGATCCCCCTCACTGGGCCCGGCGTGCAGGTGCATTATGGCTTGTACAACCAGTCCGATCGTGAGTATGAGCAGCCCGGGGAGCGGGGCGGGTGCCCTCGATGCCCCTGCAGCTTCTCCCTGCCTCCTTCCCATCCCCGGAAGCACCAAGAGGCTGCACCAAAGGACTGTGTGTGTGTGTGTGTGTGTGTGTGTGTGTGTGCGCGCGCGCGCGTGCGCATGATACCTGCGGCTCTGTGTGTGCCCCCACAGGCAAGGCTGTCACCTGTGTTCAGCAGGCATACACACTCATACAGACCTGTGTGTGTGCTGTGTACGTGGGACATGTCTGTCCACATGCACTGTGCAGATGGGTGTGTGCACACGTGGGTACGTGTGTGAGCACGCAAGAGCAGCGTGTCTGCACGGGTCTGCATGATGACACGCGCCCTCCCTGTGCAGCCTGCCCTGGAGCGTTCCTCTGCTCTGTGAATGGACTGTGTGTGCCCGCCTGCGACGGGGTCAAGGACTGCCCCAACGGCCTGGACGAGAGAAACTGCGGTAGGCAGCCTGCCCGTCCCATCCCTCCTCTCTCTTTGCCTTCTCTGTGCACCAAGGCGAGCCCCCCTTTTTGAATAGAGACATCCCCCCACCAAACGTGCAATTCCTCTTATCAGCACCCAGGAAGTGGGCTCTCTCGCTGTGCTGAGATGGCAAGATGGAAGCACCGAGTCAGAAAGTGGGCTCCCCAGGGCCGCTGTTTGGGGAGGTAGCAGGGACAAGCTGGGACCCAGGTCTCCTGACTCCCAACTCACAGCTTCTCCCCACCAGGCCATCGTGCCCAGCCTTCTGTCCCAGCCAGCTGTCCAAGAAGGAACAGAGTGGATGGAGGACCAGGAATGGGAAGGCAAGCCCCGGGTGGCCAAGGAGAGAATCCTGTATCTTCCTCCCTTGAGTGGGGTCCCCACCCCTCCACCTCAGGGGTTTGGACTGGAGCTGTCAACTCTTCCTGGAGTTATGCTCACCACCGCCCAGCCCTGGCAGCAGGGGCCCTAGTGGTCCCCCAGCCAGGACTCTCTTAGAATAATGCCTCTCCTTCTGAGTCCTGGCTTTTGGCCCCCACATTCACCATCAGGGCAGCCTTTTCTTGTCTGACCTCCCCCAACCTCCCCAGACCTCCCCCAATCCCATCCCATCCAAGTTTTAAATACTTGGGGAGAGAAGCAGGAGGGAAGGGAGATGTGCTGGGGAAGGTGCCTCATATTTGGAACTAGAGCATCTGGCTTCAGGTTCTGGTTCAGCCAGATGACCTTGGACAGGTCATTTCATTTCTGTTCCCACCCATGGAACGGGGGTATCCCACAGGGTTGCTGTGAGACTCAGGTGTAAAGTAGCTAAGAAAGAGACTTACGGCCCTTGCACAGAATATAACGCACGTGCTACAGCCAGCACAAAGTCCCAGCCCAGCTCCTCAGGCTTCCTCTCATCTGCCTCTGTGTGTCCCCACGCAGTTTGCAGAGCCACATTTCAGTGCCAAGAAGACAGCACGTGCATCTCACTGTCCAGAGTCTGTGACCGGCAGCCTGACTGTCTCGATGGGAGTGATGAAGAGCAGTGCCAGGAAGGTAGGCTGGGGTAGGACCAGCTATCCAGAGGGAAACCAAATAATGGGCTCAGCCAGGACAGTCCAGCCCTTCTGTATGCTTCTTCAGGAAAGGTGTCTGCCCTCTTGTCCAAACACTCACCGACCCATCTGTATGGACGCTTACCCATCCATCCATCCATCCATCCATCCATCCATCCATCCATCCATCCATCCATCCAACCATCCATCCATCCATCCATCCATGCATCCATCCATCCATCCATCCATCCATCCATCCATCTTATGGCCTCCCCAACCACCTATCTGTGCATTGATTCATACACCCACTCTTTCATCCATCCATCCACCTGTCCACCCACCTATCTCCCTATCCACTGAGCCATCAATCTACCCATTTATTAGTTCACCTAACTACCTGTGTGTCCATCGTTCCATCCTCCATCCATGCATCCATGAATGCATGTATGCATGCATCCATCCATTGATGTAACTATCTGTTTGTCTGTTGGTCCTTACATCCACTCATTTATCCATCCTTCTAGCTGTTTGTTAGTCTCCCTACTGGACCATCAACCCACCCATTTGTTGATCTATCCAATCTCCTGTCTGTGTCCATTGTTTTATCCATCCATCCATCCACCCATCCATCCATCCATCCATCCATCCATCCATCCATCCATCCTAATCCATCCATCCAACACCTGCAGACAAGCCAGTGATAGGTAAACAGAGTGAAGGAGTGGGAATAATAGACACCAGCGAGGTGGTCCTGCCCTTTGGGATTATCTGCTAGTAGGAAGACGTGATGGGTGACTGTCTCTGGCCCAATGCCTTCTGGACATCATGTCCAGTAGCATGGGAAGATTGGCGTGCAGGAGGACATCAGGCAGGGAAAGCTTCCTACAAGACGTGGGCTTTGAACTTGGCCTTGCAGAGAGGTAAAATTTAAATCAGCAGGAGGAAAGGAGAGCAGGCCAAGACCAGGTGAGGGCGCAGAAAGTTCTTCACGGTGAAGACAGTGAGGAGCGGGTGGGCGGCTGGGTGGGGCCAGGATCTGGAGGAAGGCTGGGCTAGGAGGGGAGGCTTAGACTGATGGGAGAGGCATAGCCCTGTTCCTGGGAGCCTACTGAAAGTGGAGACACAGCCTTACTCTCGACAGACCAGTCTGAGGGGGGTGAAGGGACATGGCCTGCCTTTTTAGGAGACCCTACAGGAGCCTTGGGGGACCCTTCAGTGTGCTCAAGGGATCCCTCCCCAGTCTCCTCCTGGCCTCTTCCAGGCTCCACCTTCCCTGGGCCTTGTTTTGGAGGCTCCCTGGGGCTCAGGGACCCACCCTCCATGCCCTGCCCCTACCCCCTCTCCCCCAGGGGTGCCTTGTGGGACATTCACCTTCCAGTGTGAGGACCACAGCTGCGTGAAGAAGCCCAACCCGCAGTGTGACGGGCTTCCCGACTGCAGGGACGGCTCCGACGAGTGGCACTGTGGTGAGCCAACAGGGGTGGGGGGTGGGGGCAGAGGACCCTCTCTACCTGCAGGGCCCTGAGTGTGGGAGGGAGGGAGGGGCCGCACTGGGAAGCTGAGGGAGAGCTCACTTTGTCTCTTTCTGTCCCGCCTCTGCACCCACTCTGGGTCCTGCCTCTCCTTCATTCTCTTTCCCATCCCCCTCCATCTTTCCTTTGGCCTTCCTCTCTGCCTCCCTTTCTCCGTCTCTCTCTGTGTCCATTCCTCACTGGCTTCTGGCCGTCCCTGTCCCTCCCCGCGCCGCCAGACTGTGGCCTCCAGGGCCCCTCCGGCCGCATAGTGGGCGGGGCCGTGTCTTCAGAGGGTGAGTGGCCCTGGCAGGCCAGCCTCCAGGTTCGGGGCCGACACATCTGTGGGGGGGCGCTCATCGCTGACCGCTGGGTGATAACAGCTGCCCACTGCTTCCAGGAGGACAGGTGAGCGGGGGCCGTGGGGCCCGAGACCACAAGAGATGGGAGAGGGGAGGGGAGGCCTGGCAGGCAGGGACAGTGGGTCTGAGATCCAAGCAGGAGGGAAGGGTGGTGGGAAGCCCATCAGACTTGCTGTTTGAACGCTTGGGTTCAGTCCTGGCTCCACCATGAACATAGTCCATGCCCCTGGAAAGGTTGCTCAACCTCCCTGCCCTGCTTTTGAAATCTTGCTTTAAGTTGGGTTAGTGATTCATTCACTCATTCATTCCTGTATTCACTCAGCCATTCAGCAATATGTATCGTGCTCCTACTAGGGAGCTGTGCCAGACCCTAGGGGTACAGCAGAGAACAGAACTGCCCCACTTGGCCATAGGCCATGCCCCCCCCTCTGCCAGGTGTCTGTGACCTGGTGAGTGGGGCCCAAGAAGCCTCCAAGAAGGGACATCCCACCCAGCCCCCCAGACATCTCCATCCACATGGTCGGCTGGCAGCATTCCATCTCCTAGGCCCCACCAGTCCTGGACTCCCCTCCAACACCTCCTTTTCTGTCTCGGGTCCACATTATCCCCAGCCAAAGACCAGGAGCCACCACGGCACCCCACCCCATGCCCTTTACATCCAGAGCCAGACAGCAAGTGCTCTCGGGGCGCTGGACCAATCCTCAGCCGCTGCCTGTCCACACACCCCCAGCACCTCGGGCCAGCCCAGAGCCTGGCTCCGCTTTGCATCCCCTCCCCAGGGGCCTGGGTGCTCTTTCTGGGTGCAGTCTGACCACCTCACTCTCTCACTGCTTCCCCGGCTCCCCGCGGCCCGTGAGGTAAAGCAAGCCCTGGGCGCTGACCTGGCATGCAGGGGTCTTCGCCACCCCGTCTCGGCTGATTGTTGCATACTCAAGGCCCACCCCCTCCCAGGGCGGACCAGCAGGTCTCCGTAAGCTCACAGCAGCCCCATCTGTAAGGTGCACAGACAAAAAGGAGAGGACTGTTTGCCACTGCCTGGCACTGTGCTGATTTTTCACATGTACAGTCTTACTGAGTTCCCCCCAGTAACCTAGGAGTAGAAGACGAGGAGACTGAGGCGTAGAGAAGCACACACGTATCTAGGGAGGGATAAAGCTGGGACTGGAACCCGGGCAGGTGGACTCCGGCGCCAGCGTCGCTGACTGTACCACTGCCCAGCAGTCGGCTTTCCAGAGTGGGGAAGGGACGGGTGTGACTGCCGGGGTCGCTGGTGGGGGAGCCGGCTAGCCTACGGGTCTGGGATGAGAGAGGCGGTGGCTGAGCGCGCACCCCCCCCCCCCCCACAGCATGGCCTCCCCCGCGCTGTGGACGGTGTTCCTGGGCAAGGTGTGGCAGAGCTCCCGCTGGCCGGGCGAGGTGTCCTTCAAGGTGAACCGCCTGCTCCTGCACCCTTACCACGAAGAGGACAGCCACGACTACGACGTGGCCCTGCTGCAGCTCGACCACCCGGTGGTGCGCTCGGCCGCCGTGCAACCCGTCTGCCTGCCCGCACGCTCCCACTTCTTCGAGCCGGGCCTGCACTGCTGGATCACGGGCTGGGGTGCCCTGCGCGAGGGTGGTGAGCCGGCTGGGCTGCTGGAGGGCAGATCAGGGGAAGTGGGGTGCGGTCCACCTCCCGAGGCTTCCGAGCCTGGAGGGGGCCAGGCGAGGGGCCCCAGGGCTCTACCCCAGGGGCCCTCTGGTGCTGGGATCAACCCGGGTTGGATGTCACAGAAGAAAACAAGCTTTTACTATAGCGGGTGGCTCCTGCCTTCCGGGCCCTTCCCTCCTTCCAGAACGTGCGTTTAAAGGGAACAGAGGGCGTGGGAGGTTACCTTGCGGGATATGTGTGAAGTGATGGGGCAGGTTAGGAACCCAACAGCCCACGGGCAAGCTCCAACCTCTGCTCCTTGGGCACAGATGACTTTCTACATGGAGGTTGGATTTTAGGGAACGTGGTCTCATTTAATCCACCCAATACCCCTAAGGCTGGGAATTATGGTCCCATTTTAGCAGTTCTTCCAAGTCGCCGAGCCAGAGAGGGTTGGAACAGGGACTGGCACCGAGGACTGCCTGACCCCAGAGCCCTGCTATTCCTGCTACTGCCCCTGAAGCAGGGGGCCTCTCCCCTTCCCACCTAAACTCACCATCCCTAGGGGCCACGTCTGTTCTGTGAATACAGGCAGGCCCAGGCCAGCATAACCACAGCCATGCCCTGCACCCTTAAAGAGGGTGGCTTTAAAGATGGGGACAGTGATTTACAATCTGGAGGCAGGCAGGACTGTAGAGGTACTTTATAGATGGGGAAACTGAGGCTCAGATGAGAAGTGACTTGTTCAAGGGGATGATGGAGGATAGCAGTAAAGCAAGGATTGGTTCATTTGCTCACTCATTCAAGGACACATTTATGAGCACCTACTGTATGCCAGGCCTCGAGCTGGGCAAAGATGGGCTATAGGGATGAAAAGAGAACATTCTTGGGGGAGACAGTGCTTAGAGCTGACATGGGTGGGGAGGTGCAGCCCAGAGGAGGGGCCTAGCCAGGTGGGGTCAGGGAGGCTTCCGGACAGGGGCTGGCTAAGCCAAGGCTGGGAGGACAAGTCAGCGGTGTCCACGTGGGGGAGAGAGGTGTTCCCGTTAAGCGTACAGGTGGCAACCTGGGGAGTCTCGAGAACACCCTGCACCAGAGGGGAGCTGGGGGCAGGCGGAAGTGGATGAGGACTGGCGGGAAGGACAGGACGGCCTCATTGGCCGTTGTAAGGAGCTTGAGCCAGGAGTTTGCCTGACCTGCACTTTAAAACCAACTGAGGGCTTCCAGAAAAACACCAACATTGAGTCCCACCCTAGCCAAACAGACCAGATCTTGGGGTGGGACCAGGCACAGTGTGGAATGAAGCTCCCTGGGGGCCCTCCCTGGGGGGCCCTGGCACAGCCCTGGGCTGGACAGTGGGGAGACACTGATGAATTTTAGGAGGAGAGTGTAGGGTCAGATGTGTGCTCTGCAAAAATCTCCCAGGGACTGTCACAGAACAAGGGGGCACTGGCCAAGAGGCCTCAAGCAGGAGGGGCGGCAGGGAGAAGGACACTATCCAGATAGGCTTTGGGTGGAGACTCTGTCCCCGTGGGCCACGAGGGGTCAGAACAGAGTGACGGTGAGGCGAGGCGGAGGGGTAGGGGGCGGGCAGAGCAGGAGAGATGAAGGGGGGCTTCCGAGCTGCAAGGGGAAAAGTGGAAGGAAGAGTCCACTCTCATCTCTGCCTTCTGCCCCGACCCCACCGGGCAGGCCCCACCAGCAATGGTCTGCAGAAGGTGGACGTGCAGCTGATCCCGCAGGACCTGTGCAGCGAGGCTTATCGCTACCAGGTGACACCCCGCATGCTGTGCGCTGGCTACCGCAAGGGCAAGAAGGATGCCTGTCAGGTGACGCCTTGGGGGTGGGTGGCTGAGAGGGGGGAGGGAGGGCGGGCGGGCGGCACTCACATCGTGCAAGGCCTGGCCCTCTGCTCATGCTAGCCTGCTGAAGCCCCACGGCCTTGGGAGGCCGGGATGGCTGTCCCAACTTTACCAATAGGGAAACTGAGGTTCGGGGAGGTGGAGGGACCTGCACCAAGTTGCAGGCCCCAGAGCACAAGAGAGCTGCGGTGGGCAGGTCTAAGGCTCAAACCCAGTTCTGCCCCCTGCCAAGCAAGGCGCTTTACCCAAAGGGACACAGGAGCTAGGAATGGAAGGAGCCCACAAAAGGGAGGCAGAGAGGAGTTGGGACACACGTGTACTCTTCCACGACAGCCAGGACCTGTGGAAGGACTGGCAGGGCTGCTCTGGGCTCTCTCCACTGATCAGGAGCAGGGGAGGCAGAAGACTTCCCAAGAGCCTCTTGTCACCTGGAAGACTCCCAGTAGTCAGGACCCCCAGCTTACCCTGATGCAGACCTGTCTCTCCTCTCCCCCTTTCAGGGCGACTCGGGAGGTCCACTGGTGTGCAAGGAGCCCAGTGGCCGCTGGTTCCTGGCGGGGCTGGTCAGCTGGGGCCTGGGCTGTGGCCGGCCCAACTACTTTGGTGTCTACACCCGCATCACAGGAGTGATTGGCTGGATCCAGCAGGTGCTGACCTGAGGAGCTTCCCTCCCTGCAGAGCTGGGACCCACCTCCTGGACTCAGAGAGTCCGGGGCACCCACTGGGCAGGGGAACAAGTATTCTGGGGGCAGCAGGGGGGCCTCGTGGAGGCAGGAGGTAGCATCCCGTCGTCCCCCAACCTGCTCCCTGACATCTGCCCCAGGGAGGGCAACAGTAGGAGAAGATCCATCAGCTGGTGGTGGACTCCCCCTGCACCCCAGAGCCTGGATGGTCAGCAGGCCCAGCTGGAGGGGTTCACATCCAGCCCTGTTGCCTCCTGATCCTCTCTCCTCCTTCTCCTTCTTCTGCTGCTGACTTGGGCGGGGGGGAGGGCGGGGAATGGTTCAGCAGTGATAATGGGGCTTCCGGGTCCCAATAGGGGTGTCTGAGCTCCCCTCCGCCAATGCAGAGAGCAGATTCAGCCTGTGAACTTGAGGGGTGGGGATGGGAGGCACCCCCAAGGAGGGGCCCCACAGCCCTGCAGCCAGCCAAGTGGGCCAGCTGCCACCATAAGCCAAAGGGTGGGGGGAGCCCCGGGTCTAGGGTCCTCACCCCACCCCTACCTGTCCCCTGGGCCTCCACTGCCCACTCACACCTGGAAGTGAGCTCCATTGCCCTGAGGAATAAAGCCGTTTGATCTGAGGCCCTGCTGTGGGGTTTGAACGGGGCCCGGAGCATCAACCCCACACTCTTGACTGAGCAGACTCTGCTTCCTGCTCAGCCTGTTGGTCAAATGTCTAGAAGGCCAAGGTGGGGGCAGTGGGGGCAGGGGTGACCTCCAGCGCGGTTGCTCAGGTCCCAGGAGCAACCCTAAGAAGGAGGTGGTTTGGTGACCCCCTTGGATCAGAAGGATGGGTCGAGTGATAGGCTCCGTCTGCAAGCTTGGGAGGAAACTGAGGCAGAGGGGCGGAGCCATCCTCAGGATCACACCAGCGGGTTCATAGTGAAGCCTGGTGTGGAAGCCCCGCCTCCTGGTTCCCAGTCCACCCCTTCTCAGCGTGACACTCCCTTTGCTTTCTTGGGATCCTTCATTCAGCAAGCCATCAGTCTCCCGCTACGTGCCAACCACTGCGCTGGGGCCACAGAGATGCACAGAACTCAGCTCCTGATCTCAGGAGGGGTGGGGATGACAATCCAGTGTGAAGGGGCTTTGGGGTAGCCTGGAACTCGGGAAGTCAGGGAAGGCTGCCTGGAGGAGGTGAGACTTGAGTTGCGGCCCAAAGGTGGCCAAGGTGGGGCAGGGCATTCCAGGGAGGGGAACAGCATGTGCAAAGGTGTAAGTCCCAAAAGAACACGGCATATTGGTGAGCTGTTCTGAGTTACACAGAGGTTGAGAGAGGAGCAAACTGAGATCAGATGACAAAGAATTTGGAGTTAAGGACTTGATGCTGGGTGCTCTGGGGAGCCACAGAAGAAGGCTCTAGAGCAGGGGAGCGACACGAGTGGATTCGCACTTTAGAAGGATCAGGGGCCCCGGTGTGGAGGCATGAGTGCAGAGGGAGTGGGAAGCAGGGAGGCCCTGAGGAGGCCGCTGCTCAACTCCAGGAGGGAGAGGAAGGGGATCTAATGAGCCGGGCAGCAGGGATGCACTTGAAGGACCCTCAGTGTCCTCCAGGTGCCTTAGCGGCTGGGGGTTGAGTGAGGGAGGAGTCACCCAGGACCACTCCCAGGGGTCCGTCCTGATCCACCGGGCCAGTGGAGGACCTGTTGCCTGGCCTGGGGCACCTGGGGAGGGAAAGGCTCTGAGGAGGTGCCAGAGCTTGGATGCCTCTGGGAGGGAGGTGTGCAGGAGGTAGGCGGGGCTTGAGGTCTGGAGGAGGGATTCCAGAGCCCCTCTGCAGAAGGTGAGTGGGAAGACTGAAGAGGCGGGGAGACAGACACTACAGATGGGGGCCCACAAGGGAGGCTGAGGGGTGTGGGCAGAGCCGGAGGGGAGCTGGGGGGTGGAACCCTAGCAACCAAGTGGGAGCGGTCAGGGAGGGCCGCTGGTGCCCTCTGGATGCGGCGGGGGAGGTAAGGAAGTGGGGAGTGCAGACAAGTCTTCCTTGAAGCCTAGTTGGGAGAAGGAAGGGGAGCCTCAGGATATGGGGGGGATTTCAAAGTCAGGGCTCTGGCATGCACATCCAGTCCAAGGGCCTGGTGCATGAGATGGCTTGTCTGCTGGGCCCGCCTGCGGGGGGACATGGAGGGGGGAGATGGAGGAGATGGAGAAGACCAAGCAGACACTGGCGGGGGTGGGGGGAAGCTCTGGGTGGGGGCAGGATGTTACAGTATTCCACCCGGTAGCCTCGCTGGCTTCTCACAGAGGCCTGCAGATGCAGTGCTGGGCGCCCGCTAAAATGCAAATTCGTAGGCCCTACCCCAGTCTTAGTCAGAATTGGGGGGGGTGGGTAGGGGTGGACAATCTGTTCTTTTAACAAGCCTCCCGGTGACTTTTTACAAAGTTGGATACAGAATGTGAGGTCAGTCCAGCGAGCCGAATGTCTCAAGGGGAGTGGCGAGGGCCCCCCAGGCTTGAGTGGAGCAGGGGAGCCTCACCTGGCCCAGGGGAGGGGCTCTGCCTAAGGGACCCCTGCTTTGCCGGGGTGTCCCTAGCAGCGCTAAGATGCGGGGGCAGGGGAGTACGGTAGGCACTTAGCCGGACAAGGTAGGTAACGGGACTGGCCAGGCAGGGTGGGGTGGGAGGCCCTGCTGAAGCCCACAGTCCAGCGGACTCAGAGAGAAGGTGGAGCGGGAGCCCGGGCGTTTCTATTTCCTGGGACTTGGGGCAGACGGGCGGCAGTGATAGGGAGGGGTGGAGGGGACCACGAAAAGTCACAGGAAGCAGAAGGTGTGGCCCAGGGTGGGTTTAGGGTGCAGCAGAGGCTGGAGCAAAGGGCCACGGGAATGGTGGGGTGAGGCTGGGAAGTGGGGGGCCCTGCTGTCCTGATTCCGGGAGCCCCCTATCCCCTCAGCATCCCCCAGCTAGCCTAGGGCTGCCCAGAGGCAGGAAGAGACCTGCATGGCTCCAGGGGCTGGGCCTTGGAAGTCACCTGGTCCAACCCTTCCCTTCACAGATGAGTTAACTGAGGCCCAGAGAGGGCAGCCACCTGCCAAAGTTCTCCCAGCAAGGCAGAGTTGGTGCCCTTAGTGTTGGGCCACGGGGCAGAGGATGGAGCCAGGACCTCCTTCCCCCAATACACGGGAGAGTGACCGCAGGGCAGGGTCCCCGGGCTTTTGGAAAAAGCCCCACTACCTATGAGTCATTGACCCCACCTTGAGTTCAGCCCCGTCCCTGAAAGTGGCCCAGAGGAAGAGAGGAAGGCAGCCCAGCGGCTGTTTCTTCAGGCTTTATTACATGGCGGGGTTGGACACAGCCTGGGGGATCCTAAATGCAGGAGGGGGCTCCTGCTCAGCCCCTGCTACCCCCAGACTCTCCCCTGGGCAAAGGGAGGAGTGTCCCCCTGGCCCTTAGCACTAGTTCCTGAATGGCCCCCTGCCCCTGCTGAGCCCCCGCCTGCCCCCTCCTGGCCCCTCCTGGCCAGGGCCCTCTGCAGCCAGCAGTGCGGACGGGTGGGAGGAGCCAAGGTGAAGGCTGGGTCACCCTCCCTCTTCTCCCCACAAGGCCAACCCCCACACCCTTCGCCCCATCAATACCTGAATCTCCATCTGGGGCTGAGCAGGTCCTCCCCCTCCGAGGGAAGGGTGAAGGGAAGGCCACCCTCCAGTCTGGTGCTTTGTACACTTCCCCAGGGCTTTCTGGGACCTTGCTCCTCTTTGTAACCTCACAACAACCCTGTGAGGTAGGTGGTGGCGGCGGGGAGAGTGAGCCCATTTGACAGACGAGGAGACTAAGGCTCAGGGAGGAGATGTGACTGGGTCAGGGGGGAGGGTATCGTTCATGCAGCTGGGGGACCTGGGGGAAGGGCCATGGGGGTGTGGGAAACACAGCTGGACAGAGCCACACTTGGGCCACACACAGGCGGCTCTGCCTAGGGGTCCCAGGGCCCACCTCGGGCCTTGAGAGGGCCCCAGAGGCGGGAGGAAATCAAAGCCCCCCAGGTGTAGACAGAAGTGGCAGGGGGGAGGGTGCTTCCTCTGCCTGGAGCCGGGGGCCCACCCCGAGGTACAAAAATAAAGGATTTCAGTTCGGAACCCCAAGTCCCTGGAGGTGATCTGGGGCCTCACATCCGGGTGCCTCTGGCTTGTAACAGCTAGAAAATAAGAGGGGGAAGGGGGAGGGGGACGGGTGGGAGGGTGGTCAGAACACCAGGAGGGGGAAGAGAGGGTGGGGCCAGTGAGGAGGGGTGAGGCAAGGCCAGGGGAGGGCAGAGAGGAGATTGAAATGGAGGGAGGGGCAGGGAAGAGAGGGAGAGAGAAAGAGGTAGGTGAGTCACAGGCTCCCTTCTGAGAAGAGGGTGGGGGGCTGAGGCCCAGAGAAGGTGAATTCAGAGCCGAGGAGGGGGAGCAGGAAGGGGACCCGGCTCGCCCATCCGGGAACCCCATGCCCCACCCTGGGTTGGGTGGGGGCTGCCTCGGAGGCCAGAGTCACCACGACTCTGGCCAGGGGGCTGTCAAGGCCAGGTCCCTGCTGTCTCAGGCAAAAGGTCACAGACAGCAGCTGTCTGTCCCCATTTCAGGGGCAACTAGGGCCTAGACAGGGACAGTGACTTGCTGAAGGTCACACAGCAGGCAGACAAGATTGAGTAGGGGCTTGGGGGCAGCTGGCCAGGACTTTTTTCTGTGACACCCCGATCCTTAGCCAGCTCTGGCTGATTCCTTGTAGGCCAAGGGAATCCAAGGCTGGCCGTCCTTCCCCGCCCCCTACTGCCCCCAAGAGTCAGGGAACCCCCTTGGCGGGGAGGCTGTGATGCCGGGTTTCCCCTCCCTCCTTCCCAGCCCGGCTCTGGAGCTCTGGTGCTGACGGACGGCTGGGAACGAGGCCGGCCCGCCCGACTTTCCTCTCCTCTCAGAGCCTCGCACCCAAGGCCAAAAACAGGTGAGGGGAGCAAGTCGGCCGAGCTGCCAGGCTCAGGGCCAGGAACAGGAGACGCGCCCCCTCCTGGCTTCCGCCCTCCCTCCAGCTCCGCCAAGGCTACAAACCAGGGATGGCGGCTCTGGGGGGCGGGCGAGGGGCCGAGGAGGAGCCCTCACGGCCAGCGCGGCCTCGGCTCTGAGGGGTGCGCACGGGAACCTGCAAGGAGGAGAGGTGAGGAGGAGGCGAGCAGGGGAGGCTGTGGGCGGGGCGGCCCGGCCCCT